GGGCCTGGGCCAGAAGCTGTCCCAGCGGAGCGAGGGCTGGGGAGGGAGGGGGCAGTGGCCAGGTGGGTCCAGGGTGGTGGGGCACCCGTTTCCTGTGGGGGCTCGTTTGCAAGGGGCAGCCACTGCCTTCCCTGGGGATGGGCCCGGGCCGCGGGCAGGGGTCTGGGTGGTGATGAGAGTCACAGGCCAGGTCCCTGGGACAGCAGATGGCTTGGGGCAGGGGACACCAGCTATCCTCCAGCCGCACCGCTCAGCCCCGCACCCTTCAGTGCCCTCAGACCTGCCCCGAGGCCCGGGGACCAAGCGGCCTCCTGCCCAGACCCTGAGGCGGGTGGGGACCCTGGAGGGGATGTCCAGAGAGTAAGTCCTCCCCTCCCAGGTGACCTTGAGCTACGGGGGTCCTGAGAACCCCGGGAACGTGGTGAGTGTGGCCGGAGGCTTCAGCCTGCAGCAGGACCCCACGCGGTGAGTGAGCCGTGGCCGTGGGCCTGGGGAGGAGCTCTGAGCCGGCTGCCCTTCCCTCCACCCTGACACCTCGTCCCCTTTCTCAGGTTTAAGTCCATCCACTGCCTTCTCTACCCGGACACGGACTGGTGTCCTGTGACCTCACCTCTAAGTGACCCTCGACCCCTGACCCAGGGGGTGGCTCTTGGATGAAGCCTGCGGCCTCCTGGCCTCAATTGACTCCCTGTAGCCAGGCCGCAGGCCCAGGTGACCGGGCCCTGAGGAGTGGGCTCCCCGAGGCTTTCCCTGCAGGGTTCCTGGGGGGAGCGGCCCTCCGCACCCGGCTCCGTGCCCAGCAGGGCATCTCGGTCTCCAGGGCAGTGGCGCTCGAGGGCTGAGGCCCCAGCCAGTCGTGCTCTGGGCGTCTCCACGTGGAGGCTACGTGTTGGGGGACCCCGCGGGCAGGCCCCTCTCGGGCTCCTCAGCCAGACCCCTTCCTGGGGACCTTGAAGACACCCCTCCACTGCCTCAGCCCTCAGTTCTGGACTCTCCCGGCTGCAAGTCCAGGAGGCACGAGCATTTTGTGGGCTCCCCTCCGGTGGGACGGCCTTGCGCTGCCCCCGGCCTGTGCCTTCCCGGTGGTGCAGGCGCAGCGCAGCCCTCCCTGCCTCTCGCTGTGCTGTTTCAACAAGCGAATAAGAGTTTGTTCCTTTCTGTTTGGCTCCTGTCTCAATGGACCGGGCAGCTCCTGGCTCCTCCCGGGAGGCCCCGCCCCTGCAGTTCAGCCCACGGGGGGACTCTGAGCCGCAGCCCCTACCCAGGGCCCCGGCTCCCGGACTTGGACTCCGTGTGTGAGGCGGTGTCTGCAGGCCCCTGGGGGGGGGGGGGCTCAGGGTGTCAGCTGTGGTCAGGAGGCTGGGTGCCCCCCAAGCTCTGCATCCCTGCCCACCTGCTGCCCAGGCCTCATCGCCTTGCACTCACCCACACGGCCTTGGTGGTCAGAGGAGCACTTCCCAGCCCAGGAGCGCTTAGCCCTTGGCAGAGGGACTCTGCCCACAGCCCTCCCCGCTCCATGCCTCGCCGGCCGCCTCAGCCCCTCCTGTGGGGCGAGTGTGTGGAGACTCGGGCCCCTCACGAGTGCAGCACAGTCAACTGGCCGACCCGGACAGGACCAGAAAGGCTTGGGGCTCACGTTCCAACTCAGGGCAGTGCGCCCCCGTCGGCTCAAGGAAGGCGCCAGGGGTCAGCTCCCAGGACCCCTGCTCAGTGGTCCCAGGAGCCCCCGTGCCCCTCCACACAGGACGTACTTTGGGCAGAAAGGGCACTGAGCCCACAGATACCCCTAGGCAAGCTCTCCCCACCCCTGCACTGGGCTCCCCGTGGGGAGTGCAGAGGCCCAGGGCTGGGCCTGACCTGGAGTGCCCTGTCCCCCAGGTGGTCAGCTTAGGACCATGGCCCCCGCCAACTGCTGGCCACCTGAGACCAGGCCAGGGTCCTGCAGGGTTCTTGGGGAAGCTGCCCTCCACACCCTGGCTCCGTGCCCAGCATCTCGGGCTCTGGGGCAGTGGCACTTAAGGGCTGAGCCCCCCCCCCCCGGCCTCAGGGAAGACGGGACTGAAGGGTCTTGCGTCTCTCCGGTCCCCATTGTCCAGAAGAAAACCAACTGTCGTGTGAGGTGTCTCTTCACGTCTTTCTGCCTCCCCGGGGTCAGGAGCACGAGTGACAGAGCAGGTGGTGGCGCGAGAGCTGCACCAGGGGCGCAGGAGCCCAGGGGGGCGACCCTCAGAGGAGCGCATCCCCAGCTGGGCAGAGAAGCTGAGGTGGAGGGCGAGGCGCCAGCAGGGAGAGCTCAGGGTTCCGGCTGCGACGCGGGGCCTGAGTGGGGCACGAAGTGACTGGACGC